CGAAGTGAAGTCGGCGCTGCTGTAAAGGTTCAACGCTGTTAACACCGGAAGCTACTACCGGGCACGATACTGAACCAGTTTCGTCTATCTTCCATTCTCAGACAAAATATCTTTAATATCCTAATGTTATTCTCCCATCTCTTCTGTCTTCCAAAATAACTGCCTTCCAAATAAATACCAAAACAGTGTAAATGTTTACTGTCTCCTCTTTGTGTCATTATCCTCACAGCACTCTCATTCATTACAAAATTAATCTATAAATTCCTAGAATAAATTCATTTAAACACAGTCTTATATGAGAACGAATTATGCTAAAATGTTCCAAGAAAGTTGCGCAGGAGAAAGCGAACACCCATACACATTTTTTGACGTATTACGCATCTGAATTAGCGCTTTATTTTTCATTTTGTATTCACTCCTTAACAGATGTAAAATCTATCGTCTTACAAGCCTTAACCCATTTAACTAACAACTTGTGATTGAATCCTGTGCCTTTTATGGATATAAAAATTCATTAATGTTCATGAAGCTTTCTCCTGTTCCTATTCAATCCACCGAAGATCAATTTTAATATTATACTATAACCCGGTTCTAGGTATCCCAAGTGATCTCTTTCCTTTAAATTTTACGCTTAAAATTTTGCACTCATTTTTCATCTCAGTACACATGATACACGAACCACCCATCCCACACTCCATGATTTCATCACTAATGATATTTGGTGTACTGTCCGCCTGTAAATTATGCATTTCTTCGCCATATAATATTTTATCCACGTCATATTTCTATCCCTCTCTTAAGTCCAATTATTATCCTCAGTTCCCCTTGCCAAACATTCAATTTATGTTCTGTCTTCGGGGTTAAAAGAACAAATTTCACATCTACACAAACAATGGCGAAAATGTTTTTTTTTATCTTTGGGCCGAAAGATTTAAGACGAGAAAAGAAATGATTCACCCATGTGAAGTCTCTTTTATTTAAGTGGCCCTTGGCAGATACTGAGTTGGACATGACATGACTTCCAAGTTCTAGCTGCCATATTGGCACGCTCGAGTAAAGTAAACCTACACTTCAGATTTGCGCGTTCAAATGTCGCGTTGCCACTCCAGAGAGCGAGTTCTGATTCTGGTAGGCCGTTTAGCCGACAGCCACACGACGGACTGGTTACTATCTCTTCTTTCCTATAATTGGCGGCCCCGGTTCGCTCGTCCCCGGCGGCCCAATGGATCAGCAGCAACTTCTTCTACGCATTCGTACGATACTGCACTGCACTACGACCGACCACCTGCAAGAGGGACCATCGACGTTCCAGGGCGCGGCTGGATAAATGTCCACTCAAAACACTCGTTAACAAGAATACAAAGGACACGCCATTATATTTTCCAAATGCATTATTTGCGACTCTGAATACTGTATTGGACTTCATGTTTATTTATTGCAGGCAAAAACTTCTGTTGTGAAAATTCGTAGACATATTACATTGCAAAGAGCAAGAAATTTGTTTTCTTGTTTTGACTTAAATAATCAGATGTGAGTTTTGCTTAAAGTAGGGGCTATGTTTAGAATTGAGCCAAACCACTAGTCCATCAAACTCTAACACTACTTATGTACGCGACAGACTTGATCAGTTGGCATACCAGCAAACCCCCAGCTCGGACTTCCTCTGTTACTGCATTTTATTGCACTCACAGCAATGAATTTAAAGTAAGTATGACATGAACATTTTAAGTTTTTCTTTTAGGAAGTTATAGTTACACATGACATGCAAAAACATGTCTATTTGATGGTTGTCTCCTGGGTTGTTGCGCCGTGTAGTCTGGTAGAAGTTTACCGATATTTCAGAGGTCCTTGTTGCCTTCATCATCAGGGCGATGACTCATCCATCTTTAGACTCCCGCCGTGGAAACATCAAATCCAACATGTCTATTTGTTCATTATCAATTTCCAGAATTTTATGCCCACAGAACACAACGCATTGCATAACGTAAGAAGTTACTGTCGTTTCATTACCGTCTTCATGCTTGTTGTTCGTTGCTCAAAGGAATGCAAGTGAAAAACCGCGCATGACACACTAAAAGTAATATAACCAGCTTTAAAACGTATTTTAAAAGATATATACACCACTGCGAAAGATATGATTTATGATTAATAAATCAATTCAATTACGTCTTCAAAATAATCGCACATATATGGCTGTTGGCAAAGAAGAGAAACGATGATATACTCTCTGTCTGTCTGTCTGTCTAGTCGCCAGATAACATTACTGAATACGAAACCACGTGGAAGTTGAAGTAAATACATCAACAAATGAATGAGCGGTAAGCCACAGTTTCGGTTTACTAATTGGTTTGGGACTTCAGTCTCTGATATTAGATAACATTTATATGGATTAGTCCTTCAGGAAATGATGATCATTCAGTTATTCAAGGAATTCTCCACTTTTTATGAAAGCCGAAAAGTCCACAGATTCATCTATTTAGCGACGATGAAGGCATCTAGGACCTCTGAAACGTCGGCAAACTTGTGCCAGAATAAACGACGCTATAACCCAGAAGACAACCATCATCATGTGACTTGTCATTTTGTAAGAGAAACAGTGCGTGCGTGTGATAAACTAAACAAATGTGGAAGGATAGTGTTCGTGGCGTACGCTAAAAAACTGAAATGCTGTACCAGCACGTGTCTGGGGAAACTAAGGAAAAACATGAGAAACCTCAGTCCGGATAGCATAGTCGTAGCACGACCCAGTAACTAACGAACTGGTTAAATATGGATACGGACAGTTTCCTGACAGTAATGAGTTGGCCGCCTGGAGCTACACATTGCAATTACCAACAGAAGCCGTGAGTGACCTGACACGTGACGTTAGGGCTAAAGAACGCGGTCTCCAAAATGAGATATATGTTGGCAACTGTCCATTCTGATGCTAGGCCCTTGAGCTGATGCATTTTTCGCCGTGTGGTGTAATCTCAACTCTATTAAGCCGAAGTTCGTCTAAATAATATTTCCAAATTAAGTCTGGACCGCAAAGAAAACACAACACTTTAGTCCTGCATTCGTCTTTGTCAGACACAAAATTTCCCTTCCGTGAACTAGGGTAAGAACTGTCTGTACTTTATAAAATCCAACTGAATTCCTTTTTCCTTTATTTGTTTGCCTATAACATCTCGGCATTGTTTAACACAAATTAAGTAGATCAACCGGATACAGAACCCAAGTTCACCTGGTGTGAGGTCTGTCTTTGTTGAACTACACACGAGACAGTTTGCAGGCATCAGAGATATATTTACTGAAAGACATTCAGTGCAGTCAAGATAGCCTCTTTGTGCATTACGTTCAACGAAACTTAATACAATGGACTAAATACCCTGAAAGTATATCTTGAGGCAATGTTAATACATCACGTTACCAACATCAAGTTGATGGAATAACATCTGAAATACTTTGAATCAGTACCAACCTAAACACAAATTTGAAACGTTGTAAAACACTCTCAATACCCCATTGTTGTTTCTTGGCAAAACGTTCAAAACTTTGACTGTCTCTGTGTATAATTCAGGCGTTCTTTACGCGGAAAGATAAGGGGGATAAATTATGCACAGGTTATACAGAGTGATTCAAAAGGTTAGGGCCAAACTGAAGGAGCGTATAGAGGGACTCAGAGAGAACAACTTTTGAATAGAACCCATGTCCTCCGAAGTTATCTTGAGTCAGTCGAGGCCACTGAAGGCAGGGAAGTCTGATAACATACAGCTGAAATAATCGTACTTTTCTATTCTCCTACTAGCTTAATTTTGTTTTTTATTAATGTACAAGGATTACATTAGCAATCTTACAAAACAAATTATTTCAGCGGTATGTTATCAGACTTCCCTGCCTTCAATGGCCTCGACTGACTCAGGATAACTTCGGAGGACATGGATTCCTATTCAAAAGTTGTTCTCTCTGAGTCCCTCTATACGCTCCTTCAGTTTGGCCGTAACCTTTTGAATCCCTCTGTATACGATATAGGATATATGCTGTAAATCATGAAGTTGAAAGCAACTGTTACTTCCAGGCTCCCGGCAGGAACTGCTATTATGCAGACAAGTAGATTTTATTGTTTTATGGAGCGATATTTGACTCGTATCAGAAGAAGTTGCAGGAGAATCCATTGTCAGCTGTCCAATATTCTAGAAACCAACGTTATATGACCAGTAAAGAGAATAGCTACTTTCTTTATGATGAAATTTAAGCCATCACTTATGAAATCTCTCTACCATTTTATGAACGACAAGATCTGCTCGTTTTGTGTTGTGTCCTCAAACGGGCTAACAAATCAGTGACGTAAGAGGATGTACATCTGAATGGCACCTCATTTATACTTAACAGCGCTACTTCGTAACTTCCCAGCAGACTTGACGTGGTAAATACCTCGTAAATTAGACGAAAGTTATCCTCTCTGAGCCTTGCTTCCTTTCGACTGAGGCAACGTGTTTAATCATAAAAAAATAAAAATAAAAGCTTCTTGTTGAGGAGACAAATACGACAATACTCACTACATTTACAAACCCAACTTCCCGGTCCCACTTTAGCAAAGAGCATGGTCTAAGGGTCACACAGTTCTCTTTGTCCGTGCAGTGTCGAAGAATGTAAATTTCTTGGAATAAATGACAAAAGTTAGCTGAATGGTGTAGATCACCTGACTTATATTTTACAGCTCCTTCGTTCGACGTAGGTATTTCGTGGTTTTACAAGCACACTCTCCCCCCTCATTCCCCGCCCCTCATCATCAAGTAGTCCTGTCATAATCTCGCTCTCCGCAAACTACTAACTGATCTAGCAACGCGCGTTATCTGCACTTTTAAACCATTGAACCGGCGAAAGCCTCAGCACTTTTTCAGATGCACGTCATTCACGGCCTTCCATCAAAATAAGATAACACGCTTACAAATCAATAAAATCTTCTCGGGCAATCAGCCGCGTCAACTGGTTTACTACGGTAACCAGTTGACGCGGCTGATTGCCTGAAAAGATTTTATTGAGTGTAATAAGTAGTTGGTTATAAGATGTCCTTTCTTAATTGTGTTAAATAACATTTAGTATGAATATGCCACTGAAGTAGGAATGATGGCTTTCATAATTATTAAATGGTAAACAGGGAAGTAAGATTTTTATTTGAGTGGGATACAGTTACTTTAGTAAAAGAAAATTGAATTTTGGTTGTCAGATGCCCAAGTCCGAGAAGCAGACCACCAGTCCAAGCCATATGGTGTCACGAAGGCCCAAGGTTCCAATTCCAGCAAGAGCAAACAGCGCAAGGAACCGCCAGCTCTTGCCACTGCAGGTTAGGAATTGCGATTTACAGAAAATCAAGTATTTGCGTTGGAACATACCGTAATTATTGAGTAGTTTCTGTAGTTGATTAGACATAGTGTTACTCATAAATATGTACATCAACTTCTTTATTGGTAAGCACTCAGTCCTGTATTACTTTGTATTATGCTGTTAATAGGATGGTAAGAGGTTCCCCGCTTAACATGCTGTTAAGAAAGTGCCTGACTGCCCTCCAGAGTGCATGTATGTTGGACTCGATATTTTTTCCAGTAATAATTTCGTTGTCAGTCCTGTGTGCAACCCAAACCTAAACAAACTCACTTCTATGTATATTTACCAGCACTGCTTTGATTTCTGGCTTACCACTTATATAAATAACTGTATTAGAATTGAGGTTCTCACGGCAGTAAAGTTGTCACTGTGGGTGTTTTGGGTTGTAATGCCACGTGGACTTGTAGAGAAATTACCAAAGTTTCCTTGAATGGTTTGTGTCTGCCTGTGAGTCCACATGGCATTACGTAAGTAAACGAGAACAACATTGACAGTGTAAATAACGTTTCACCTCACTAAAGTCACAGTTGTAACTGTGAAGCACTTCACCATGCAACTTTGAACCAGATGTAATGCAGTGTTCAAAATGACAGTTTTCAGCTGTAGATAAATAATTACCGATATAGAACTGAAGGTTGGATTGAATGTCGACATGGACCAGACATTGCCATCTTCAAACTGCCTGAAATGAACCCTCTGTTTGTCACTGTCACATAATGACTTCTTTGAATGTGGTTTGTTTTTGACTAAGGCAGGGTCTTTTTAATGTCATTGTGTATCAAAATATCAAGGAGGAAAAAAGTAAAACTCCGTTCTTTTTGACTCTCTGTTAGTATATCTCTAGGAAATGTTCTCATCTTCAGGAATAGGATTAGGTCTTATATTAGGATAATGCATCTAGTGGTGTGCTGCAGGGGGCTTAGAGGAACTCACATGAGCCACTTATTATTTTTGGCTAATTTTCCAAGCACTTTGTTATAATTACAGAAAATATTAGATTATACATGTGATACACCAGTATAAAAATATTGATACACATACATCTTGTCCGTCCCTACTTCCAAATTCCAGAACAAAAAGGAAAACATTGACTGCCGGTGCAAGTTCCATGTTAACAAACTGGCAGCACACTCCTGAATGCATCTGCATATCATTGGGTGTACCAGTAATTAAAAGAATTGACTATTTAACCTATTTCAGGAAAGCAACATTTGAAAACTAATTAAAATTATCTCTTGGTTCACAGAACTGAAGCGGTCTCCAAAGAAAAGCTGTCATAGAAATCCATCATTATCGTCGACTTTTTTATTGGTTGCTCCCCTCCGCTCCACCTCGCCCTGTCCCCTCAGCGGGATGGTGGCCGAGCGAAAGAAGATGTTCGAACCTTAAACAGTAGGATGCTTGTTCGAGCGATGTCTGAAGAGGGGAGGGGTGGCAACCAATCAGTAAACCAAAATGCTGCACGTCAAATGGCCAAGGCCATTCTGCTTGCAGCTAAGGGAAATACAGCAAACTATCCAACAGCTGACGGTGATGAACACCGAGTGTTAAGAAGGGAAGTTAGCCATACACCATCAACATCATGTGGCAGTTTGGTGGAATCGTTACTGCTGGAAGATGGAAACTTGAGTAGTAACATCAGTAATAAGCAGTCAAATGATACTGAAGTAAAATTCAAGCGAATTGTTATTTTAAAAACTGCAATCATAAATATGATGAAACATAATAATCATAAATAATTGTGTACTGCATTATGTCTCTTCACATTGCTTAGAGATAAATAGAAACACCAAAACTAATTACACGTCTTGGGATTAAATCCAGGGTACAAGCTCAAGCTACTATGATTTCTTCTGTTTGCATTAACAGCTGTTGCAGAAAACAATCGTCACTAACTCCTTCGGAATGTGCTCGTGTAAATTTAAACTTTTGATGGGGCATTA